GAAGAATTCTCACTATCAAAATTTAAAAAGAGATTGTCAATCAAAAGGAATGACCTACTGATGCTATGACATGGGTGAACCTCAAAAACATTGTGCTCAGTGAAAGAATCAAGACACAAGAGAGCACATATTGTATGATTCCATTTATATGAAATGTCCAGGAAAGGCATATCCATAGAGACAGTAGGTGAGTGGTTGCCCGGGGCAGGGTGGAAACATGGAGTAATGGTCAATGGGCATGAGAGATCTTATTGGGAAAGAGAGAATATTCTAAAATGGATTTATGGTGATAGTTGCATAACTTGGTAAATTTACTAACCACCATTGAAATGGGTGAATTGTATGATATGTAAAATATTCCCCCAAAAGTAGTAAGACAAAGAAGTGTAATTAAAATATGAAAGTCTAACATTTATTGAGCACCTAGGATGCACTTTACAGGGATTTTTTTCCCAGCCCTAACAGCTCATTCATTTGTTTCCCTGAACTCATCTTTGTTGAGAAGCTATTATGTACCAGGCACCATGCCAGGACACAGGAGTACAGCGACGAACAAGACTTGGTTCTGGTACAAGGTCCCTGCCTGATGGAGATCATGGTGTAGTGAGCATTGGGGGTTGAGGTTAGGGTGGGGTGGAGATGCAGATGAAAATGCCAGTGATGACAAGAGAATGTACCTGGTCTGTCATGCTGTGTGTAGGGATGGTGCTGGCATAGTCCAGGGGATGCACCCCAATCCAGACCTGGTGGGTGCTGGGAAGGCAGAGAAGGTTTTGTGCATGATGCTGAGACCTGAAGGAGGAGGGTAGTTAGTTACCAGGCGAAATGGTGAGAGAGTAAGGTGGGAAGAATGAAAGTTGTTTGGTCATTCATTCATCTCCCTCCCTCCCTCCCTCCCTCCCTCCCTCCAAAAAAAAGAATGAAATGTTTGGTCATTCATTCATCCCCCTCCCTCCCTCCCTCCCTCCCTCCCTCCCTCCCTGCCTCCTTCCCTTCCTTCCTTCCTTCCTTCCTTCCATAACTGTTTATTGAGAGCCTGCTATGTACCCAGCAATTTGATGAGGCTGGCAAGGTGTCCGTGATAGAGACAGAGGGTATAAGAAGGGCCTTGCGGGTGAAGTTATGCCCATTTCACTGATGAGGAAATGGAGGCTCAGAGATGAGAAGTAACTTGCCCACTCACACAGCTGGGGCAGAGATACAAACCTAAGCCAACTTTGTCTCAAAAGCGCCTCTCTGAAAATAGTCTCTCTTCTTGTTTCTAAGAAGAGTGTCAGATACACCACCGTGGTTTTGAGGGCCAAGAGGAGATGCCCCCCTAAGGCATCTCCTCCTGTCTGTTGGATACCCTCAGCCCCCGTGAGGACCCACCTACAGTCTCTTCGGATGACGGATGGGGGACATGAAGGTGTCCAGGGCTGAGGGGAAGGGACCACTGACTTTACTGTCCTGAGCATTGGATAGGGAATGGAACCAGAATTGTACACCAAGTTTTGCCACTAATTATTTGGGCAGCTTGAGGCTAATCCCTAGCCTCTCTGGGCCTCAAGTCTCTTGTCTCTGTAATGGGAACATTGGGTTTGCTGCACCCTGGCTCTGTCTGGGCTGACATCAATGACCAGGACTTGGCCTCAGAGGTCCCCAGAGCTATGTGGTGGAAGTAGGATGACCAGCTGGTCCTGGTTTGCCAGGGACTTTCTAGGTTTGAGCAATAAAGGTCCAATGTCAAGGGAAACCCCTCGGTTTTGGGAAAATGGAGACAGTTGGTCACCGTAGCTGGAGGGCATAAGGCTAACCTCCCGGCTCATGTTACCCGCAAAGATCAAAATACGCAGCCTCTCACTCTGCACCCGTGAGGCCACAGAACTGTTTTCTAGCCATTTGGTTTGTACATATCGTGTTTCTACATTCAGTCGGAAGTCCCTTCTAGCCTGGGTTCGACGTCCTCCATTTCTTTCAGACCTCCTGTTTCTGCTCAGCCATCTCCCCCAGGTCAGGGGTCCCTCCCTGAACCCCCTCCCACTTCTCAGGACCGTCCTTTGGGTTGCCTGTCGCCATTAGCTCCCCCAGAGCGCCTTAAGTTCCTGCCTTGCTCACAATTGATTCCCCAGCATTGGGGCAGGAATAAGTGATCAATAAATGATCATGGAATTTCTGAGCCTCTTCAGTGCTTAGGACAGGACTAGGTATCTCTGTCCCAGTCCCCCCACCCCAAGCTTCACACCCCAACTCCAGGACACTTCTGTTGGCAGAATAGATTCTTCCTAGAAAAGGCTGCAGGGCACCGCTCCCCAGGTATGGCTTCTTAACCCCTCTGTCCCGCAGGCCCCTTGGGCATCCGGTGAAGACTGTGCACCCTTCTCAGGGTAATTTTTTAAAAATAAATATATATTTTTATTGATTTCAGAGAGGAAGGGAGAGGGAGAGATAGAAGCATCAATGATGAGAGAGAATATCTCATTATGCCCCCTACTGGGGATCGAGCCCACAACCCAGGCATGTGCCCTTGATGGGAATCAAACCCTGGGCCCTTTAGTTTGCAGGCCAACATTCTGAGCCAAACCGGCTAGGGCCTCCGAATAATTTTTAAAAATTGCATTTGGGTTACAATGAAAACAATTTTTACTAAAATACAATTATAAAGTATTTAGAAACTGTTGGGGTATAATAACATGTGCTTCTTTATTAATCCATTAAGTAAGATTTAGTGGTGAGCCTGATATGACCTTAGTTTCAGAGTTGTGGAAGCTTAAACAATATTTTGAGATTTCTACAGTAACTAAAGTGTGATATGAAAATATCTGTGATTTTTGTTAGTGGCAAAATCACACGGACTTTTTACCTGGTGGCTGCATTCATGATCAAAGGAAATGCTGAGTATCCTTTAGAGATTGGTGAAAAATGGAGATATAAACTTTTGTCCATCCCAGTGTCATGAACCCTTCAGAATTCTATCCTCAGGCCCCTAGGAACTCCTGCTTGAAGGCAAAGGGGTTTTGACTCTGTAGGTTAAGTAAACAAGAAAAGCACCAAGAGATGAGAGAACAAAGAGTAAAGGGCAGTGGCCACGGGGCTGGGATAAACAGAAAGGTTTCCCGGCAGGGCAGTTTCAGGCTGTGCTATAGAGGTGAGCCTGTTTTCGCAGGAAGCAAGAAGCTAGAGGTGAGGGAGGGAAACATGTGGAGGGTTTGCTCTTATGAGTGAATCAAAAACAGCCTCGGCCTCACCCCAGAGCAAGCCCATGTCACCTTGGTGTCTCTTTTGTTGCTGAGAACACCACGCCATTGTCCCTGTAAAACAGGGTACCTGCCCTCAAGCTTATACACAATGAGACAAAACAAACACCACATGTAATAACAAGACAAATACTAAATTTCAATTAAAAAGATGTGTCCAGAAGAATCTGGAACATGCCACATATCTTGCTAAGTACACACAGAATGCAACCCAAAGACATTCAAAGGTAGGAGTCACCTCCTCTCCGAGGTTTGTGGTGAGGATCAAATGGGGAAATGGACAAGAGGCCAGTGGAGTGGACAGGACAGAGTATTCGCTTTGGGACTGCTTGCTGATGCTTCTCTGGTCTCAGTGACCTCCGTAAAATGGGGACAATAAAAGTCTGGCACCTGACATATACTAAGCACTCAATAATGAGAGCTATTATTATCATTTAAAAAAAAAAAGATAGATGTTTGCAAATTGATTCTAGCGAACACCAGATTGGAGAACTTGGTCTTTAGGGTGGTAGATCTGAAAACGGATCTGAATGAATGAAAGAATGAATGAATGCGTCCTTCCGTTGGCTCCACCCTCCAGATGAATCCCTCCCCCACGCTGCCCCCTAAGTGGCTCAATGAAATGGACCTCCAGCTCTGGGGTCAGCTACATCTCAGCGTGTGAGTGTGCAGTGGTGTGGAGGTGGTCATTCTGGGTGGGCGGAGCAACAGCAGCCCAGGCTGAGCAAGAGGGTGTCATGTTCCCGAATGGTCCTCAAGGGACTACCCTCCCCGTTCCCCGTATCCCCTTAATCGGCGTGGCACCTCCGTGGGCCGGGGGACTAGAGGGCTCTGCAGTGCCCAGGCGGAACCTGGGGGCAAGGAGTGGAGGAGCCTGCCTGGGTCCACCGCGTGGGGAACGTGCAGGCACAAGAGAGGCCTTATCCTGGGAAGGTCGATCTAAGCTGCCCAGGCTGAAGTGGAGGTGGGGTGCAGATGCACCTTCGGATGCTATGGTTCCCCAGCCCTTCCAGGCCGAGGTTTTCCTTACCCCGTGGGAATTTGGGTCCTGGGAATTGGGGTGGGAGAGAAGCGGAGTCTCCTTGGCAGAGGACGTGGGGGAGAGGGCTACCTAAAACCAGAAACGAGCGCTGCGGAAGCTGCTTGTCCCTTTAAGAGGCCGGGCTAGCTCTGCGGCGGCTCCAGCTAACCGCAAGCCTGGTGCAGCTCGGCGGTCCGTGTCTCCTCGCAAAGCATCCGAGCTGCGCGTGGCAGCAGGACCCGGCAAGAGAGGCGTGGTCCAGGGGATCTGGGCGGAGCCAGAGCTGCAGACAGCCGGTCA